GATAGGCTTGGATTAATTGTGAAGAACTTCAGACAAGAATGATCAATGTCAAAAAGGAGCTCAGGGAGTTTATAAAGGGGACTGGCTCTATGGACAAATTGTGACATAATACACCCTGAGGCACTGATGTACATTACTGTTTTTAAATTGCTCCATATCAGCTATAACAAAAAGCTTATAGTCTTATATACTGATGACTGCAAGCAAAGCTACAGTTCACACCGCTTGAACTCTTTCAACTCAAACTTGGGGTTTTGCATTTAAAGCTGCAGATTAGGACTTTTGAAAGCTCAATCTGAGATTTGTCCAGACTAGGTCATCAAACTACCTCAACTATTCCGGTTGTGTGTTTAATGTCGTTTTCTCAATTAAAATATCAGGTCTTTTTTAACCAATATTTTTTCCGTTTTGTTCCAATAACAGAAACATTTTCAATATTGCAAACGCTGACATTACGCTGACGATGGGGATTCGTTTCATGTCGTTCTGACACCACCGTGTTTCACGGTTAAGTATCTGATGGAAATTTAATGTGGTGTAAATATCAAAAAAAGGCAGAGGTTCAAGAAATCTTTTATTCATTCATTCATTCATCTCTATGCAAGCATAGCTTCTGTATCTGAGTCAATGATTGCTGGTGGGAAGCCAGCAAGGAGAAAAGCCAATATTTGGAGACTAGTGGATTTCTACCAAATATTTGCTCGGACGACAAGACTTTCACTCGCTTGTTTCAGAGCTAAAACAGAAAAACGATAAAATATGAGCATTATCTCCTTAAATATCCTATTTATCCTCATTTGAGCGACAAACTAAATGATGGTTGGTTTACAGTGAACTTAGTAAAATTACTTTGAGTCAAAAGTTTGCAGTAAATTCTGTTTGCATCGTTGGCGTCAAGTTTTTCAAAAAGTGGGCTTCTCAGAAATGCTGTTTAATCCACTAAATCCACTTCATATTTTGTGTAAAGATTAACCTTTGTGTTTCAAATACAGCATTTTAAATGTTAAACTATTGAGTTCTTCATTGATATGTATACTGGAGTTTAAACAAATTTCATTTTGTTTTTTGAAAACTTTTTGATTTCACAGTTTACATTTGAATAAAAACCTGAATTTGTTAGGTGAATATTTTTGATTGGTTGAAGAATCTATGTTTTGGTTAAAGTTTCTGGATATTTGTTTTAACTTAGCTCTTTGTTAGTTAATGACTTTAACTAGCATTGTAGTGGAGAAGCTTCACTTCGTTTTGCCTTGTAAAGTTTGTTGTTGTAATTGTTGCAATAAGCATCCAACTATTTAGGTTTGAAATTAAATGCTTTGTGGTTTTTATTTTTGTGACCCACCAATGTCCTTAAAACTTAACCGCATCAAATGACCAACACTAAATCTCAAATCTTGGCCTGATTCTGAAGTGTTGTAAAATGATGTCGTCTTCATTTTATGATGGCAGTAACCACAAGAGCCACAAGATGGCCGAATCCTGATGAACTCTACGCCTCAGTGAGTGCAAATGTCTTTGTCAGAACAATGTCTTCTGAAGACATCACCAGCAGCAAGCAGCTTGAAGACACTGCACTGTAGATGGCTTTTACTCAACGCAGAGCAATAAATTATTTTCCAGCACATTTGCTTCCAAACAGCCACTGAAGACACCAGGGCTTCCCCCCTCGGTGGTGAATCCGGCAGCCTGCCGAGGCCCCTTGTATTCCATGCACAGATCCCAGGACACCGAGGGATATGTGCATCAGCATGCACACATGAAGTTGGCCGGGCTTGACAATGCGTAATGCATTCGTCATGCCAGTCGGGCCAAGCAGGCATGGAGGGTCTTTCCTCCTAATCAAGCCCCACAAGGTGATTTTATAATACAGATGGGAGCCGTCAGGCTTTTCTGGAAAACAAGACGAGGAAGGAGAAGAGGAGGAGGAGGAGGACACACAGAGGATGACAAAGAAATCATATGCTCTCTGTGGATGAAAGTTTCTCCTTTATCAGTGTAAAATAGAGGTTAATAGGAAGATGTATAGGTGGATGTTTCATTGTCTGCACATATAGGAAAGAGGTTGATTTCCTTTGAAGAGCATTCTCTCATCTCAGAGATGAAGACGACAAAACGAGTCATTCGATAAAGAAAATAATTGCTATAATTATCATTATATGATGACACAGGAAACAGAGCAGAGCTGAAATGCTTTAAGTCCAACAAGCAGATGCTAAAAGCACTGGACTGAGGTGATTTCTTTCTAGAAATCTATCTATCCGTAAAGCACATCATCTGGGGATAAACACTGCCATCATCTGCACTGATAAGCTATTGTGGGGTATATTTAGGTTTATCCCCTCAAGGTTGTCCCAGTTTCCATATGCGCCAATGTGCTTTTGCTATAAAAGATCAGCTTTGCACCACATGTGTTCATTTCAGTGGTCTTTCAGATGCATTCACCCCAATTTCTAAGGTGAATGGGTCTCAGAGGAGGGATGCTGGCTCTCTATAATCCCCAGGTTTCTGCCAAGCTGTATTCAAGGCTGACCAAACCGGTGAGCAGCGCTTATCTGTCTGTTTCTGGGCTGGCTGCTTGTCCAGGGGTTTTCCCCGCACATGTTTAAACACATCCGGGAACGATACATACATGCCCGAAAACATTTATACGTTGTAATTATGTATTGTTAGAAATGCTGTCAGTGCCAGGGTTTTCCTAGATGCTAGTTTGCTACTGACCAATAAATTTAGTAGAAATATAACCTGTTTACATAATTCACAAAGTTATGGTCATACTGCTTAATAAGCTGGGTTAAATTAACCCGTGTAAACTGTTCAGTTATAAAACTTTCCTTGTTTCCCCATTTTGAACCTTTTTTTTTGTTTTCAAAAATAAAAAAGTATCAATCTTAATAGATGTTTTTACAAAGAAAGCAGATTCACATTTTACATAGACTTCAAATTATAGATTTAGTAATAAGATGCTCCTCAGAAAAACACCAGTGCTGTGCCATGGTGCATTGCCCAGTCAGTGGAGCAGAATATTCAGCTGGAATCGAACCAACACCTCCCAGCAAGCCTTCGCCGACAGACCCCCAAGGTTACGGCGAGCTGATGTGCACATGCATTTCAGCTCTGCTGGCCACAACCTTACAGTGAAGGGAAAAAAATGACAACTCCATGAATGCTGGTGATCCAATGATTAAGAAAAAAAATCCTGAGGCTTCAATTACCAATGCGGAGCTGAAATGACACCAATTCAGGTTATTAATACATCGTGTTGCTCATTCTGTGACATGTAATCTGCCATCTGGTTTGTGCTCAAGGCGCCGCGACACGTACGCTTAGATGTGCTCAAAAGACTGCAATCTTAGAAGTTATCTACAAACAAGGGAAAAAAGGAGAAAGTTGAGCCTCAAGACTCTCATTAATAGATAAGCTCATGTGACAGTTTTACGAATTGCTCACCCTTGGGCGATTGATTTGTTAAAGAAACCTCAAGGCAAAAAGTTTCTATCAAACCTTTCCTGACCCCCACAATTACATGACAACTGTTTGGTTGATAAATGATTAGATTGGAAATCAATTGGTTATAACGCATGCTCACCTGTTTTCTCCAGTTTGTTCTCAAAGTATGGCTTTTGCAAGTCTGAATGACTATTTGTGATCCAGGTTGGATTTCATTTGTAGTTTGATGGAATCATATTTGGTGACAGGCTTAAAAATCCTCTTTTTGTTCGATTTTGTAAGTTACAGGAAACTTGAGGAAACTACACCAAGCTGTAAAATAATGATATTCCGCCAATATCTTTAGATCACTTGCATCCATCTTGCAGCAGTGTTGGGTAGCGATGTGTAAGGTGTCAGAGTTGTGACTGTCATGCTGCAGAATCTGTTTGACTTGATACGGCTAATAGAGACTCTACAGCAGACGATGTGTAAAGAGGCCATGCTGCAGTGTTGCATCCAACGCTGGATTATCATCAACTTATTGAAATGCAAGGGAGATGCCAATTAGTAAGACTGGGGTTTAGTTTTATCTCTCCTTTTACATTCCCTGCAATGTAGAACTAGAACTTCCATTAGATATTATATGTGGAAGAAAAAACATCTAGAATCACAACATAATGGACTTTTAATGTATGTTTAAGCACATTAGAGCAGAGCCTAATTTAGGTGATACATTAGTGAAGCAAACATTTAATTCCCAAAGATGCAGTTTTAATAGGAATGCTTTGTTTCAATAAGCTGAAGCTAGTATGTATGGGTTACACAGAAAAGCAAAAAAGCATGCATGTAGAATAATGCATGAATCTTGGTGAATTTTTCATGAAAAGTTTGCACTCCTGCCTTATACAAACTCTCCCCTAAAGCATCTATGCATTCTGAAATGTCCGTCTGTCCTAACATGGCTCGTTTTCTGCTGTACCTTATTTCACATTCCTGCTTCAGAATAAACAAGTCAAATGCTCCTGCAGAGTAAATTTAGCCAAGATCCTTGGTGCTGACTGGAAATGCTATTACCTGCCATGGTAACTCTGGGAGTGCTTGAGGAATCAGAGCGCAGCTTCTCAGATTTTAGAAGTGTAAATCTTTCTTCTCTGGGTGGATTGATGGCTCTGCCTGCCTCCAAAAGGAAATGAACTGGCTTTATGAGCCAAGGTGACACTGAATGATGAAAAGCGTGGTTTTTAACTTGATTATTTATACTTCTGTTTTTTGGTTACATACAAGCCGCAGGATGGAAAGAATGACAGCGATATATTACCAGAGCTTTTGTAGTTCAGTAGCACTAACCTTTTCGACAGTCCAACACAAAACGCCGCAGAGTTTTGAATCTGAATGTAACATGGGTTTAGATTATTCAGAAACGTGATGGAAATGTTAAATGAATGCTCTATCAGATGGTTGCTACATAATGTAGTTTATCACACAAAATATCAATAGTACCCATTTAAGTTTGCTTAAAGGACTCTATGTGCACTGGATGCTCATATTAAAGTCATTTTTTCCCGTTGCAGAGAAACCGACCGTCATTGACGTGGGCATCTACATCAACAGCATCGGACCGGTGTCGTCCATCGACATGGTGAGTCGGGTTTTCTTCACCCTCACACCTGTAGGTTTTACTGTAGCCCGACTCCAGAGCCTCATCAAACATGAGCGGCGTCATTTCTCATGTTGCATTTGGAGGTCATCTGTGACGCCGCAGATGTTTCTGTTGCAGTGTGAGCCAAGAAGGACAGGTGTGGGTTTTGGTTTGCTTGATCAGCGCGGATTCAAGCCAGAAAAAAAAAAAAAAAAAAAAAAAAACTAGCCAGTTTGGACTTTTCTGTGGATAATCATGAGAAATCAAAGAAGAAGAAAAAACAGCTCTGTATATGTTTTCCAAAAAGAGCAGAATTCTGGATTAGAGGCGTAGAAAAAAGCAAATTGCTGAAAGTAAAAGCCTGATTTGCAACAATGGGAAAATAGCTGCTTCTCAAAGCGTTAGGAGTTTGTTCAACAACCTCTCGTTGATTATTTTGCAAAAATCTGTTCCATCACTGTCAAACATTCAACCAAGTTGAATTTTTCTCACGATTACTCATCCTCACAACATAAGTGTATGGCTTTGCAGATTTTAACTGAACTAGATGTGATAAGAAATTAGCCAGATGTTGAGCTGCTACTATCGCTTTGCAAGGTGGAAAAAAACCCTGATGACATGAGATCCTTTAAACATGTTATGAAGAGCTCTAAACTCATTAAAAATTAGGTATGCACCTGTTACACTTAGCTGCTGCATGCATTCAGATTTAATTGGATCAAGTGTTGTGTATAACACCCTTCACATTTATTAAAAAATGCAGAGTTATGGAAGAAGGCTTAAAATTAATTCATATTTTAGATTTGATTGCTTTTCAGCAAGGGGAAGAAAAAAAGTTGTTTCAATGATTCAGTATTTACAATTAATTAACAACAAAAAAATAAACAACTTTGTGAAAGTATTACTAGCATTACCAGTGATTTAAAAGTGGGCTTCGAATTTAAGATTTCCAACCGGACAAAGTTGTTCCCTAATAATTAGAGTGCTTTAACATGCAGCCATTGTGCGGAGGGATATTTAGGCACACTCCCAAAGTGAATTCAATTTGGGATGCAAAATGGTGGACTCCAACTCACAGTTCATTAACTTGATTTTCTACCCTGCACTCTGAGAAGCCAGTAGGCTCTCTGATAGACACTAAAATCTGCAGTCAGTGTAGATCTGGGTTTCTGGAACCCTTATTAAGATTACTGAACCGCTGCAGAAAACGGCCTCTGTTCGACTCTTTCTTTTCTTCTTTTTTTTTTTTTTTTTTTTTTGTGGCTGTCCCGCTTGTCAGGGTTTGTGCTTTCCGTGGTGGAAACAAGTGCAGCTAATTATTAAAGCACCCAAAAAAATCAAATCTGAGGCAGCAGCAAACACAAGAGGAAACTTAGTGAGGAAAGTCTGCTTTGTATCCTGATTCCAGCTCATACCAGAGAGAAAAATGTTGCACAAGCTTCATAACAAAACACTCTGCACAACTGAGACATAACTGCAGCTCTGTTGCAATCAAGTCCAGGACAGGAGATCGTCTCTGCCAGCAACAAAAACCCTATATGACTCCTCAAAGGAACTGTTTGTTCTTATATTGTATTTTTCCCCATAGTTTATACACTGCAATAACCCATACTCCCTTTGGGTTTAATAAAGTATGATACAGTTCAATAAAGCTGTGAAAAATATTACATTATTCTGACTGCATCATTAGGAAATATTTATATTTTCAGCAATTTAAATTTTCTTTGCAAGAGGGGATATTAAGTTGATGCTGCAGAGGCCTCACCATCTATAAGAACTAAAATACCCAAATGAACATAAACATAAAACTAACCTAAAGAATATTTCTCCTTTCAGTTCCATTTCTACATTCAACCTCGTATCAATCACAAATCTGCTCATTTTGAATCAGATCAGGTTCCCCGAGTCTTAAACAATAATAACCTATTATGATGTTTGAATATAATTCCTGGAATGTCTCACAAGCATTCAGCTCTTTTTATTAAAGTTGTTATGACAGTTTATGGACAAACTTTTCCCACTGCAGTATTTAGTCTGACACAGAGCAGCAAAGCCACCACATATTCTATCTATGATGCTGTTAGGATCAAAAGCTTCTGAGCCAACTAATTAGGGCTTAGTTTCCACCTTTTCCTTTCATTAAATGTTCATATGACAGGCGCAATGCAAGTTACATCAATCAGCGTGTCACATCATCTTTAGCCACTTAATGTTCAAAGCACATCCATAAAGGCCGTTTAAAAATGAATATGCATTCCAATGGAGAAACATAACCAACACATTAATATTCTGCCCTCTTTAAATCATGCTCATTAAATGTCTTAGGATTAAACGTCAGCAGTTTGACATCTCCAGAACCGATTCCAGTTTTTTGACATTAGTTTGTAAACCTTTTTATGACCCTGAACTGTTTCATATTTTGTCACGTTACACTCATAATGTGACAAACGGAGGAGACCAGCACAAAGTAAAGTTGTAGCAGAGCCCCAATCGCAGAAGAAATTGTAAATGCCAATTTTTTAAAATACTTTGTCATTTGTAATTTATTTATTTTTTCTTGTCAATGGATTGGTCGATCTCTGCTACTCCTCCAGAGTTACTGCAGACCTTAAACACAACACAGTACCAGACTTGTTTTTAATGCTGAACATTCTGTCTGAAAACTCAGAATACCCATATTTAGTTTCTACACAACTGGACACCAACAGTCTACACCTCATTCAAACATGAGAGCTGTAACCTCAAGCCTCCCGCTGCCTGTAGTGGGTCAGTGGGGCATGACTGCGTTGTGGAGCCCAGAGCTCCCGTCCATGAAGGAACAGAGTCCCGCTGCGACATCCCGATTATCTTCCCCCTGTGTAAGCACTGATTGGCTCCACGGTGCCAGGGCCAGTATATGCCGATCACTGAGACGTGAATCCCCAGCCACCTACAGATTTGACTGGAGTGGAATTAGCGCCGCGTCACAACTGGTTTCCCCTCCCCTTTCCAGTTTTCTCTGCGTCAGTTTTGTTTGGGAAGTGTTTCAGTGAGAGAGAGAACAAGAAGTATCCTCTGACTAGATTGGCCTGGTTTCCCTCTTTGCTCTTCGAAGCTCAACATTTACACTCCGCCGCGCTCCGAGTCCGATCCATCAACAGGAGTGAGATCTCCGTTTTACATGTTCACTCGCTCCTCGGGTCTGAATGAGAGTTCCACATGAAAAACCAGGTCAGTTCCCCAAGGCTGTATCAGATTCATGATCCATATTGATACACACATACATGCACTCGCACACACTGATGCAACTCTGCAAACAACCAAACTCCAGGAAGCTTCTCATCTACCATTGTGCAAAACACATTATCTTTCTTCATTTGGTGCGGTGGTAATGGGCGCTGGCTGGGGCGATGCAACGGCAAATGAAGCCGATGGTAATTTAGGATGTACTGTGATGAATGGTGGAGTGATTAACCAGCATTACCAGCTTTAAAACTGGAAGAAAGGGCTCAGTTTCTCTGATAACAGACAGCAAATTAACTGACAAAGATGCCCTCTGACCTCCATACAACGTCCAGCAGGGATCACTGGTCATCTAACCTTTTTGTCATATGAGCCAAAATTGTTGAATCAAAACTACTTGAGTTTGAGTCTAAAAAGTGCTTTTTTGTTTTAACCTGGTAGACTATAAACTAAACATGCGATATTTAAATTAACTGCTAAGGCTTTAATCCATAACCGGCTAAACATTTTCAATTTTTTTGAAGAATGAATGAGTGAGAAAATGTTTTTCTATGATCTCTAACTGATTTTGTGAAAGAAACTCTGGAGAAGGACCTTTAGTCTGCAGATAATTAATGTGGAAAGTGAATATATAAAAATAAAGACAACTAAATGGGAACATTTGTTTTTAGTAATATTATTCAAATCATTACTTTTCTCTGATTTGCTAGAATTATCAATTTGTAGTCTTTCAAATAAATTTCCCCACAATAATATATTCTTGGAGTAATAACCCTCCCTGTTGTTCTTTAATGCATTTGCTCCCAAGAAAAATCAACAGATGTGACATCAGTAAAACCTGCTCTATAGCTAATGGCCACCAGTTGAAGACAAACTATTCCTTTAAAACAACTCATAGCACTTTACCACCTAAATCTGACTTGATGTCTCTGGAAAGGAATAGCTGGTATTAGAACTCCTCTGGTAGGTAGCTGGGTCAGAGCTAATCTTTAGTGCATTCAGTAGAAACAAAAACTGGAGAAATCAATCCTCAAGCAGAGATGCTGGAAATTGCTCAAGAGGCTGAACCACTGGAGGCTAAACTTGTCATGATCTAACCATGTGCTCCATCTTTATTTAGTGCTCTTCTCCGGCAGCAAATGAAGGATTTAATGATGTAAAGCTGTGCAACGACCCATCTTCTGAGAGGTGAAATGGATTGCAATTAAAGGCAATGGTTGTTGGGGAACATTAGAGCTAAAACTGCAGTGGCTGGACGCATGGAGAGCAGGTAAAACCTGTTGGCTTTATAACCCGTGTGAACGGATTCACCAAAGAGAAAATAATAAAAAATAACTCAAGCGTGGATTGGATGGAGTCCATGTATGAATATATAAGTCTTGACACAGATTCTAAACCAGATTTAGGTCTTCACTTTATTGGGCCTAAAATATTGGAACCAATATTTTAGGCCCAATATTTGACAGAAACCAGGTATCTAGGAACTTGGGAATTGGATTGGGATCACACACTCAACTCCATGTGTTCATTCACTACACGACCACAGAATAGAAATATTTAAATTAATTGCAACACTGTACTCGTACCAGAAAAGTCTGAGTAGCTAACAGATTTCACAATATTGCAGCAACAATGTGGAAATGAAACAGGTCAAGTTAGAACCGCTCTTAGTTTTGGTCTGTTTAAATTACTTCCAGGTCGTGAAGACTGATTTGTCCATATATTTTGACATAAATAATTTCTGAAAATCTCTCATTATTTGACACATGTCACATTTA